CAGTTGGGAGGGGAGGGGGAGAACCCAGGGCTGGGGGGCAGCCAAAAATTTGTTGCTTGTGGCAGCAAAAAACCAAGAGCCGGCCATGTCTGTATGTATAAATATCTTCTGTGTGTTCCATTCTATGCATCCGATGAAGTGGGCTGTAGTCCATGAAAGCTTATGCTCAAATAAATGTGTTGATCTCCAAGGTGCCACAAGTACTCCTGTTCCTTTTGCGGATACAGGCTAACACGGCTGCTACTCTGAAACCTGTCAATAAATTCTAGAAAATGCTCTCTGACGGTCACCATTGCAGGGACATTTTCACTAGGTTCTGTTGTTGTTACAACACTCACCATTAAAGTCATTTGATCCATATGGCTGATGTAAGGTGGGCAGTCCAGAATAACAGAGTAATGACTTGCTGACTTCAGATTTGCCACAATCTTCTGTTTGACTTTTGTTGCCAGTAACAGTATGATGTCATTTTGAATTTTTTTTCCGAGGTGGTGGGGTGTGCCCATTTCTTGGGTGGTGACTCTTCTTAGATTCTCCAGGAGTACAGCATCACCCTTAGCCATCAGCTCCACAAATTATCCTCATCTCAAGCTCTTTCCAACTATGGAATACTCTCTGGTGATTTGCTGCCTTCTCATGGCATGCCAGATTTCTAGCCTGATTTTTCCAGTCCTTTGTTCCTGTAGAACCCAACGTGGCTGGAACATTAGACTGGAAGGGTTTGCAACAAAAACAGGATGCAGCATTCTAGGTTTTTGAGTACATAAGCCATGGCCTCTTCACTTTGTCACCATTGGTGATTTCACACCAGTAATGTGTTGGATGGAAGCTACTATTTTCATTGTCTTTGAGGAACATGAAGTTTTTCACTTGCTGTGGCCCATGCAGTACAAGGAAGTCCCTCAGGCTACTGCTCAAGTGGGTCCACAGTCCTGGATCATCTAGACTTAAGGAACTAAACTCAGCAGCAGCTGTTTCTTGCACCTCCACCACACTCTTCTCTGATCTACACTTTTCTTCAGGAATGGGCATGGTTACACCCATTTGAGATGGAGATATGGATGCTGCAGTAGTTGCCAGGTCACCTGCACTCTGACTAACTGGAAGATCAGGCATCTCCTCACCACTCACATCCTCACTGGGGCCGGAAGGCTCACCGTGAACATTTGTGTCTGTGTATCTCAGGAGAGCTCCTTCCTGCTTAGATAGAAAAGCCACCTTTGCTTGCTTTCTTTTTCTGAATGCTGCCCCAGAGGGGCGTTTTCTTCTTTCACTCATGACTGCTGTTCTGTGCCAGCTACAGTGGCTCTCAACACTCAATTGAAGGGGACAAATAAGCAGGCTGGTAGCAGAGTCTGAGTGAGGGAAGATATCAGCGTCTTAAGGGCCTAACTGGCTCCTACTATTTCAGTTGACTGCCTGTTCTCCTCAAGGGGGTTCAGGGAAGCAGCAGGAAACAGGAAGCTCCCTGAGAAGCTGGTGTTAATCAGTCCAGGCTCCTGGGGGTGCTGGAGAGGTACACAAGAGGCTCCTCCTCCTCTCTCTTCCTGCAGCTCCTGCTGCTTTCTGTTATTCCCTCTCCCCTTTTCTCCTGCCTGCCTGTTATGTCTCTTGTGCCCTCCTTCCTCCAGCACAGCACTCCACCATCTCTGTGCATCTCGAGCAGAGAGAATACATAGGCACCCGCAGCAGACACAATTTTCTACACTCTGGGTCCTAGTGGCGCCCCCCACAGTCTGGCACCTGAGGTGGCCACCTCAGTTCGCCTCATGGTAAGACCAGCCCTGTCCTGTGGGCACGGAGAACCTAACTCCCACTGAGGTCAGCCAGGGAGGCTGGATGTGGACTTTACAGGAAATAGACAGTCAGGGCAGCAGAAACGCAGGCTCTCACTGGGTGGCTCTTTGTCCTGCCTCTGTTGGCTAGAGCGTGAGCAGAGCTTTATGAGACAGCTGCTGCGGCTGTAGCCAGCCATCGGAGCAAGTTTCCCATCGTCTCTCTTCTGCCCATGGATGCTCGACTGCAGCAGCTCCTCAGAGGTCCCAGCCTCGCTCTTTAATGCCCATTCTCCCCGTGCTCGCATGGCGCTTCATGGACCATTGAGTAGCCTCATGACAACATCCCAGTTGTGGACACAGGCACCAGCAACCGATTCCCCAAGCCAAAGTCCCCTGGGCAATCCAGGGAGCCTTAGCCTGGGTTGTCTGGAGCGCAGGGTTTGGCCCCTGGTGACTGCAGACACTGCACCTGCTGCACAGCCGCACGGTGACTCCTGTGACCCCTCTGCCCATCAGCACTCGGCTCTCCCGCATTCTGCTGAGCGCCTGAGATCTGAAACAGAAATTCTTTGTTAGAGACGGAAAATCTCCTTCCAGGAACACTCTGTCAGTGGCTGCCAGAGGCCTTCCCTGTGAAACCCCAAATGTGCAGCCCCTCGGATTCCCACAGGAGAGATCTCTGCTCATTCACTGATCAGTCGTGGCTGCAGTCTCTGACAGGGTGAATGTAGAGGGTTTTTTTGCCAATGATCCCTTCTACAGCGCCCATAATGGGAGGAGGTTTGGCCTTGTGATGTGAGGCGCGGGTCTGAGAATCAGGGCTCCTGGGTTCAGTGACTCTGGAAGGGGGTGTGGTCTAGTGGGTGGAGCTGGATTTGGTGACACTGAGTGAGAGGGGCTTGTGCTGAAGGACCCTGGTTCAATCCCCTCCAATTCCTGTGGTGTCTACATGTGGCCATGACTTTACTTACCTATCAGTATAGGTTCTTTAGCCTATTCCTGGACACATTCTTACATCTGCTGCTGGCCATCCTGAGATGTAGGTCCTTCATCCACACAAGGACATGGCTCATCAAGGTCAGAATAGCAACTCCCATCTGGTCTTCACCTCTGCTTGGAGAAGAAACTGTGTAAGCACCCCCACTACTTGTTTTTTAATTTACGCAACCCCCGGTTCCTACCCCATTACCCACCCGTCCTTGACCGCCGCTTCTTAATCATTCATTTTACCTGAGCTCTGTCTTTTCCATTCGCTTTGTCCGCCGGTGACTCCCCCGAGCCGCGATCGCCTTCCACCTCTGAGGGGGTGGACAAAGAGAGGCCGTCACGCTCATCGGGGTGCCTCACGAGGGTTTCAGGGTCGGGTTACGACGTATCCATCAACGGCTAGGTCAAAGGGTCCTCCTCGGAACTGTCGCTGTGTAGCGCTTTCTCCACACAAGTCCAAAGGTGCTCGGGACTAAAACAAAGTCCGAAGTTCTCACGGGGGTGGTGAAGGAGTCCATGTTTCCTCTCAGCAGCCTTTCCGCGATTTGGAAAACACATGTCCTTGGTAAGAGATGGCCGCATCCTCTGTCTGGCGCTGGGACTTATGAGGCAATAGTGCTGCACTCTGATTGGCAGAGGTCCTTGGGAGGAGTTCTTAGTGGGGTCACACGACTCACTTCCGGAGGGGTCACCCCCCCCGGAAGTCACCCTGATTGGTCAAAATCTCCTCTCAGGGAGGTCCTGTCGGGACGAAACCCCTCTTGATGGGTAGGGGGGAGGGAGTTCTTAGAGGGGTCACACGACGCACTTCTGGACCAGTCACCCCCTATCCTGGAAGTCACCCTGATTGGTCAAAATCTCCTCTCGGGGTGGTCCTATCAGGACGAAACCCCTCCTGATTGGTAGAGGGTGATGGGGGGAGTTCTTAGAGGGGTCACACGACACACTTCTGGACTGGTCATTCCCCGCCCTGGAAGTCACCCTGATTGGTCAAAATCTCCTCTCGGGGCGGTCCTATCAGGACGAAACCCCTCCTGATTGGTAGAGGGTGATGGGGGGAGTTCTTAGAGGGGTCACATGACGCACTTCTGGACCGGTCACCCCCCCCCCCGGAAGTCACCCTGATTGGTCAAAATCTCCTCTCAGGGAGGTCCTGTCGGGACGAAACCCCTCCTGATTGGTGGGGGGGGTGTTCTTAGAGGGGTCACACAACCCACTTCGTAGGACCGGTCACCCCCCCCCCCGGAAGTCACCCTGATTGGTCAAAATCTCCTCTCGGGGTGGTCCTATCGGGACGAAACCCCTCCTGATTGGTAGAGGGTGGTGGGAGGAGTTCTTAGAGGGGTCCCATGACCCACCTTGCTTCCGGTCAGGTGGCACCTTGACCCCGGAAGTAATACCCCCATGGGTGAGACTTCCAGTGACAGGTGGGCGGGATTAAAGAGGTCAAGGGGCAGGGTTAGGCTTTGATTGACGGTACGGTAGAGCCCTTATACTACTGCGGTGTCCCTGTTGCATATGGGCCACTTACTTGCGGAGAGCCTGCTTTTCTGCAAAAAGTTGCACCACCTAATGTTAGGTGCTGCGTCTGATAATTAGGCCCAGTGGTTGGAGCGTAGGTCGCAGGGAGGTGCAGGATTGTGCCTAGGCTAAGAGTGGTGCTAGAATCAGGGTCCAGGGACACACCAGGGTCAAAACCGAGATCAGAGTCCATCGAAAAAGCAGAGGCAGAGATAGTGTCCAAGTCCAGGCCAGAGGTCATGGCCAGGTAGTCAAAGACCAAAGATCAGCCAAGTCAATGTCAAGCCAGAGTCCAGATACAGGCCGAGGGTCAAAGCCGGGTAGTCAAAGTCCGAGTGCTTGGGGAAGATCGGGAGGAGAAGGCAATGCTGGAGCGGGTCGGTGGGGTGCCTGGAGCAGGACTAGAGAAGGGCAAGGAGAATACAGAACCAGGGTGGGTATCCAACATCTGGAGCCAAGAAGGGTCACGCTGAAGTCATAACCAGAGACTGGAGCCAAGGGTCAAGCCAGAGTCAATAGCGAGGAACCGGAGGGCAGGGCAGGGCAGGGCAGGCTGGTGCATGCAGGCGGGAACCAGGATGACTTACAGGTTCTCCTAGGCATTGCCCAGCTGGAGCTCTAGAGCCCCCACATTGGGGGACTCCCTTCCTAGGAATAAAAGAAAGAGAGCAAGATGACAAAGATGTCTCTTACTCTGGGGTCCAAGCCCAGGGGAGCTCCCACCCCGGCATTGTGCCAGGACCCCATCACCCTCCTGGTTCCTTTCACACTCAGAGACCCCCTAGCAGGAGGGGAGAATAAAGGGCAGAAAGCGAAGGTGCCCCTGGGGGAAAGGGACCAGCCTGGGACCCAGTCCAGTTCCCAGATCTATTCCCAGGAGTGTGTGACCAGGAGCACAGCTCTTCCTCTGTGTCTCAGACCCCACCTGCCAGATGGGGAGGAGCTTTCCTTGCCCCAAAGTGCTAGGGGGGAGTTTCATTCCTGGCTGGGAAGGGTTCAGATACCGGCTGGGTGGCTTGGGCCCCAGGTGGGGGATGGTCAGACATTCACTGCGGCAGGGTGACATGGGCCATGGGAAGGTCTGAGCAGTGACGGCAGGGGAGGGGCTCCACGTCGGGCCACCCCTCCCACACAGCAATGATTCCTGAGGATAACCCCTGGCTCTGCGGATGCTCTCATTTCTGGGCCAGCCCCACGGCCCTGACAGCCTGATGTTTACGAAACTGGCCTCTGGGCATGGGGGCAGGGAGCGTAACTGGCCTGGCCCCAGCTCCAGGGGTCGGGGAGGGGCATGGTGGTGAGAGCGAGGTGCTCGGCCTGGGTTTCTCTCAGTGCTGTGGGATTTATGTCCACTCCCCCCAGCCCTTCTCCCCCAGGCCCAGTGAGACAGAGCAGTACCTGCGGCAGGGAGTGGGAGCTTCTGGTCATCCGATGGGGGAGAGGGGACTTCAAAGGTGTCCCACTGCGCACAGCCCCTGCAGTGCTTTGGGCACCTGGCGCAAGCACCGGATGTAGAACAGGTGTGCCATGATTGTTGCTCTAACATCCTCCTGCTGAAAGGGAACAAGAATCAGTCAGAGACTAGATACCCATGGCAACGAAGGGCATTAACGGCAACGGGAACCGGCAGAATTTCCACCCCACCCCTCCCCACATCTGAGGGACGCATTCCCGCACAAAATCCCCGAGACGAAATCTTGTCTCCTCTCTAGTGACCTCCAACCCCTCTCTCACCATTGTGAAATGAACTCCTGCCCCCATTCCTCTCAGGCCCCCCGTGAGAGCTGTTCTACCTCCAAACCCAGCTGGGATTCTGGGGAGCAGAGCTGAACCCTCCCTCAGCCACCCTCGCCTCCTCCACCTGAGGGGCTGGGAGGCTCTGGGCAGTAGTGCCGGGGGGGTGAGAGGATGTGGACACCTTTTCCCAAGGGACGCCCCTGTTGTTAAGATGACGCCATGGACAGTGGCTCTGGGGCATGGGGCACTTGAGCAGCCTCTGCTGACTGACTCCTCCAGTTCTCCCAGAGCAGGGGGTGGCTGGGATAACACGATCCCAGAGCCCTAGGAACCGGCTTGAGGCCCTGAGGGGTGGGAAAGGCTCACAGTGGTCACATGGGGAATTGGCAGCCCCTAGTATGAGCATTGGCAGCGTGTCGTGTTGATGTGATGAATGTTAGGAAATAGCCTTGCTGGAGAGCTGGGTCTGCCCTGCTTTGAGCTGCTCAGGGGACAAGCTGGTACTGACCAATGGCACCTGCCTGGGTTCATCCTCTCTTTGCTCCAAGGTCAGCGCGTGGGGATGGGATGGGAATGACTTTCAATGGCCTGGAGGTGATAGGCCCTGAGGCTCCCTCCCCAGTTGATCCTTCTTTGGTTACCTCATCCCCTATCAGCTGTCCGGCTTCCCCCAGGATGGAGTACGTTAGCACCAGCCCAGCCTGGCTGACACGGATCTGGGGGTCATGTATTGCCAGAAGCGCCGCCTGGAGGAAAGATATTCTCTGGCCCTCTGAAAAGATCTGTCCAAAGACCTAAAACCAACAGCACCACAGCCCTTGTCAGTTGCCCAGAACCAGGCTCCAAATCCCTCTAGTATGTCACAAGATGAAGAAGAGTCCTGGGGCAGCCAACCTCTGGGGTCCCATGGACCAAGGGTCCCCCGTCGGTAAGAGGTTGCAGGCACTGAGGAATAGCTCTTTCTGGAGCAGGATTCACCGCAGATGCCATGACATGCTGGGAATGTGTCTGCGCGCTCTGGAACCAGCTCACACAGACAAAGGATCCCTACTGCTCCCAGCAGCGATATCTCCTGCAGCTCACCCGCTAGAGGAAAGGGCCTTTTAGATCTGCTTCCATTCCCGCTCCTCACCCCACTGACATTCCCACGAGCGTCATGGTTCAGTGACTCAGCCCAGGAAAGGGGCTCGGTGTCCCTCACCCCAACGCCCAGCGCAGGGGCAGGTTCTGCTCCCTGACTCGCCATGGTGCTGGGCAAACCCCACACCGAGTCTGTGCTTCCACAGGGTGCAGGGACTCCAATGGGGATCTGGTCTGAGCTTCCCAACTCACTGACCCAGGGGCTCCCCTCTCAGACACCAGGCTGTCAGCCAGGGAGAGTGAGCGGAGCCAGATCCCCGGAGATACAATCCTCCATTAACTCAACCCCCCAGGGGATCCCTTGTATGCCACGTAGACGTAGATCCATGGAACACACACAAGCCTGGACCGTTAGCAAGGCTCCAACCCAGAGTCCTCGGCCTCTTGCAGCTGAACGCTGTCAGCTGGAAATAAGTATCATAGAATATCAGGGTTGGAAAGGACCTCAGGAGGTCATCTAGTCCAACCCCCTGCTCAAAGCAGGGCCAACACCAACTAAATCATCCAACAGATTTTTGCCCCAGATCCCTAAATGGCCCCCTCAAGGATTGAACTCATAAGCCTGGGTTTAGCAGGCCAATGCTCAAACCACTGAGCTATCCCTCCCTCTCCATAACACACTAACTGCAGGGGGAGACAGCTCCACACCTGAGCTGCTGCAATGCACCAGCGGAAAGTCCTTACCTCCCCCACTCTGGCCATATGTCTGTAGGCCAGGTGCTCGGTGTCCCGGAGCCTGTCCCGGCACCACAGATGGCTCGCCTCTTGGATGTTCAACCCTGGGGAAGAGACACACCCATTGGGGAGGGTTGGCATCCGGTTTTAGTGCCTGTTTCCTTCTGTTCCCTTTGCTGGGTGAACACTGGCCGGGGTCCACCCACTGAAGTCAGGATCTGGCCCTAGCTACCCAACTGGTGACATCTTACAAGCTTTGTGTCCTTCTCCTGTGGTCCCTGCCCCTGCCCTCATGGTGGGCTCTTTCCCTCCACGTGTCTCAATAGCTCCGTTCCTGTCCCCTCACCAGCTGGCTGCCCCCTGGGTGGGCTGATTTCCCTGGGCTGGGGGACGGACCCAGGCTCTGAGGTAAAGCTGCTAATTTCCCCGGCATGTTCATCCCCTTCCTCTCTCCCTGAATTAGGGAGATGAGTGTGAGACATTATCTAAGCTGGGGTCGGTCTCAGAGGAGGGGGATTCTTTCTGTAGGGTCCCTTGGCCAGCAAGTGGGGGGCCCAAAACAGGGGCCTTGTTTCCATTGAGGTCCCTCTGCCCTGCTGCAGTTGGTCTAACAGAAGAGACCTTAGTTGTATTGGTGTCCCAATGGCCAGTTGGAGCTAGTCGCCAAGGGCCTCACTTCTATGGGGCCCCATTGCCCAGCTGGGTTTCTTACCCCTCCTCTGCAGCAGGAGCCTCTGCAGCCAATGTAGCCCGCTCCTGGCTTGCTGGCTGATGTCGTTGGCTGGGTCCGAGATGTACAGTCCCAGGTGCAGTGCAAGATGGCAGACCAAAGGGAAATCGGAGGAGGTCGGGGGGGAGGAGAAGAGGG